TTTCTTTTTTACTGATTCTAATGTGTCAACTTCTAGCTACTTGCTGCCCATATTTGCTTTTTGATATGTTTGATTCACATTGCATATGGCTTCATCATTGCCAACAAGCCCCGTAAAACCTCGATTTTCAGCAGTTCGAAAAACGCTAAGATTGCGCAGACTTCCAGTTTACATCACACTCTACATGATGCCAAAGAATGAGAATGTTAGATGAAATAAGGAAATATGGCAAAATTTGCAAACTTATGTGCCAACTTAACACGTCAGTCGTATTTTCTTGCATAAACTGTTGCAGATCTGTCGTGAAAATGTAGATTTTCCATCTTTCTGTGCCACACCGTCATCAAATAATCTCTGCTCAAGCAAATTCTGATAATTTCTGCACTACTTTTCCCACTGACACTGACCCAAGCTGCAACCGCATTTACAGTTGAATGCCAAAGTTCATGATATTTATCATGATCAAACTCGTTAAAATTGGGTTTGAAATAGTATGGCTATATCTTACTTGATTCAAAAACTTTCGTTCTGCTTGAAGAGAGATTGTCCTTTGATCTCACTTTTAGTAAGTTGAAAGACAATGCCAATGCCAAAATTGGGCAATTTTGTACCTTAAAGATTCTAGGCTAAAATATATAATGCGCACAGGCTACTATCAGCAGAGTTCTTTGAGAAATATTTTAAATTGCGGAAATTCGATCTCTGGCAACAAAAACAGCTCGAGCGTAGCAGCGTCCACTCTCATACATGTTACTTGTGCTTCTTAAAGCTAGAATAAAAGTTCCATAAATTTGGGTATGTCCAGCCCACAAAGTTAATCAAAGATCTATGATGATAGAGTGATTGAAACTGCATATATCTGCATTCTAACGTTTCCGAAGTTCTCATTGTAAGTCATAAGATATCTACGCTTTTCAGCACTCACTTGCTGGAGATCAAATCAGGTTATACAACTCAAACACTTTATATTTTATATAGCGATTCTCAAGAGTTCGCATCGCATATCTAGCACAAAGACAAAATGAAAAGAACATCAAAGGCAAAACAATGTCTACAATGAGATACCCTTATTGTAAAAGGAGATGATGAAAGAATCATGCACAAGTCAATATAAAAACATAAACAGCACGAAAGTTAATCTAATTGGCAAAGGCGACTAATTGACAGGGTGAGTAATAACAAGAAATAGAGCAGAAGCAGAATTACACGGAAACAGTTAAAAGCGGAGGGGTGATGTGCTGAGATAGTGGAATACCTGAACCTAGCTGAATTGAGCTTCGAAACTGTTGAGAGCTCTATCACTTTACAATAAGTGAGTGGAGCTCTCAACTCAAAGAAATGACGTCGAATATGTATGTATACACAAGAAATCTCAGATACAATAATTTAGTTGCATTTCTGCAGTGAATACGATAATATCGCCGGAAACGCATAGTTATATTTTGAACGAATGAATGAGTTGAGCAAGCGCTGTCCGTAACACTGGAAGTTATTAGTACTGCCTTTTTCCTGGCTCATATTCGAGACCCGGGTCGAACTGTTCCAACACATAGACCTAAAAAGTTGCTAGCGTGAGAAGAAGCTTCTGATCTCCAAGTACACCCTAATTCATCCACAAAAACAGCACTGATCTCCAGCTACATTATCTGATCAGTCCCTTCGTCTAGTCGCTCAAGTCGAGATTTCCTTCAGATGAAATTTGGAGGGGAGATGCGTTTGGACTCTCTTTTTGTTACTTTTCCGAAACAAAGAAAGGAAGCCCTTCCGTAATAACTTTAGGGGTCGTCATCTTTGTTTCCGTATGTGACAGGCATAGGACCGAAAACAAATATCCATTTTTTTGTTGTAAAGTCGCACCAAATCCTGGCCATGGCAGGCCGGTGTCGCCAAAGTATGTGCCTTTTTACGTACCTCTGAGAGTTTCCATGATCTTTTATGGTCTCGCTTTTTTTTTCACATGAAGTGATCACACCGTTACTTTTCACGGTAGGTTTTGGAAATGGTGCATCTATGCAAAACGATTGTTAGATTAAAAAAGCTGTCAGCCGAAAGCTCTCTCGGGATTCAAGTCATCTATTCCTATTGCAGCGACTCACATAATCAGAGCTTCTTATCCTCAACTCCGCTGGTGGATTCGTGATAACATATCGCTTTACGGATTCGGCATTGTCTTGATCGTGCAACCGATACAAACCGATGCATAATTGGCCATACTTCTTCAAAGATGTGGTGAACATTTGACCATAAGTAGAGTTGTGCTGAAAATGGCTATTTTTAGTCCGCAAGATGGGTTTTAGAAATGTGGAATACTTGATACTTTCCTATTCTCTCTGGATTAAGCATGTTACGATATAAAATTTGCAATTTGCTCGCCCCACAATAAAGTTACTCAGTAACCATCTGTCCGCATGTTTTTTCGGAATGCTTACCCCAATTCCTTCATAAGGATTGTCATGTAGAGCTATCTGAGCTATCCGACATCGGTCACGGTTCGCTAACGTCTCAGGTGTGCTATAACCTCCACGAAGGCCAGCGCCTTCAGCTAAGATCAGCTCGAGTTCCGGAGTCGCTCCTCCAGTAACCAGAGTCCGAATAAGCGTTAATGCCGAGTCGTTGAAGTAAGTCTAAATATGAAGCAGATACGTTTAGCAGATTAAGGCTAATTGGTCCTTGCCGAGCAGACAATACTTGGCGTATAACGCATAGAGTGCACAAAGGCCCGGCATGAGTCCGTTTCTAGGATTCTAAAAACGAAGTCCCCCTGAACTTTGAAAATTTTACGAAGTCCTCTTTGACCCTTGCTTACC